CTGTCCAAATGCCATCGCATGAGCCTACTGCTACCCTTTTTGGCGTAACCGCACTCGCCAAAGGCCAAAATAGCACCAACACCACCACCACCAAACTAGCACCACCTCCACGGCTCTCTCTTCCCATAGCGTGCATTAGTGCAGCTACAAACAATGCCAGCTACGGATCCTCCAGTCCGAAGTTACCATCTAGACTTTGGTAGATCTCATCTACAGCTCATCCTAGACTAGCGGAGATTAGATTCATAAGGTCGTAAGTATCACTCATTTTCGTTCGTTTCAGTATTTCCTGTATTTTGTTTCAAGGTCAATTAGCAAAAGCTTGATTAATCACGATCTAAAAAAAATCACATATGAGAAAACGTTATTCGATCCGTTTTTTCTCAGCAAAAACATTTGTAACATCATTTGTGTCGATTGGAATTTTCGTTTTCAATTAAAACATAGCACCGAGAGAGGTTACCTTTACCGAGATATCTTTAAAACATCACTATATGTCAAACTAAAATGAATTGAGCTGCCAGCTAAGCATCTGGAACAGTTTATGATACAAGACACAACTAATCACAATAAAACAATCATTACACCAACAAAATGGTACACAATTACACAACACAACAACATAACGCAACATATTGTAACTCTAATAACCTAGTATTGAATTCCATTCCTAGTGTTTCTAATCCTAAAAATTTAGCCTACAAACAAAATCTAACTCCAATAAAAAGTTCAAGCATCTGCTTGGATAGTATTTCCTGTGTAAATACACGTTTATGTCTACTTACGAAAGAGACACTAGAGCATATAACCTTCTTGGAAGCAGCTTACTACTCTTCGGGTCATAAATTGGCAAGGAGAGTGAAGCCGACCAAAATTTCCATGAGTCGGTCTAGTGTCAGCACTAAAATACAGGGGTTCTTTTGTTGCCTATTTGTGGACTTAGTTACCAAAAATATGTGTTTACCGGCATCAGGGTTCAACAAAAGGGAGTAGTAATAGGAGGCGTGCTATCATCCCTGCTACACCAGGCTTCTTTTGCGGAAAAAATCTGTATTCTTATACTTTCTTCTAAAGTAACAAGCACAAATACAGCGGCAACAGCATTAGCAACAACCACAGTAACATCATCAACATCAATATCAAAAACAGCAACAACAAAATTAAAAAAAATAAGCATGAGGGCAACAACAACATCGACACCAACTACAACAACAGCAGCAACAGCAACAATAATAACAACAATCAAGCCAACAATAAAAAAACATCAACAAGAATAGCAACAGCAGCAATGCAAAAAAAAGAACCAACAACAAAAAAAATCATCATCATCAGCATCAACAATAACAACCCCAACATCAACAGCAACAGCAACAATATCAAATTCGACAACAAAAACATCGATAACAACAACAACAACAACAAAAACAAAAATATCAACAATAACAATATCGACAAAATTTCCATGAGTCGGTCTA